TACATGCATGCACACGCGTGCACACCCACACACACACACATACACACATACACGCACACTTTAAGACTAATAACAGTCTTTGGAGTTTGAAAAGCCAAAATAGGAGAGAAAAAGTGACCCTATTATTACTGGCTTTTTTTTTTCAGAGTGAAGACTTAAGAATAAAAGGAAAGCATTACTTAACAAAGGACAAAGGAGCTAACAGAAACCCTGAATAAAAGATGGGGCCTTGCAGAGAACCTAATGAGCCGGACCACCTGTCCAACACCTGACTGAGCACTAAGCGCCCTACTCTTAACAACCCCACGCACTTGGCAATGGGGATGGTTATCCCCATTGCGAGGATGAGGAAAGTGAGGTGCAGGGAGGTGAGCTGATCTGGTGCCCGTGACCTCGATTCCAGGGTTCTCTCCAATCCCTCCAGGCAGAATAAAGCTGAGGAATACATGTTACAGAAGACACAAATAAAGACATGTAATGAGCTGTGTTTGGGGCTGAGGGAATTTTTGTGTTATGAAATAGTGAGTGGGAGGGTTTGGGGCCTGATGAAAGGCCAAAACAAAAGCTGAGGGGGAAGGAAAATCAGTGGTAACTGAAGAAAGGCAATTAGTGGATGCAAAACCTGCCTCATCGCCTCTCCAATGTCTACCCATTCATTAAAACCCCAAACAAAAGCCACGTCTTCCACAAAGCTTTCCCTGAACCACACAGGCCACTGTAGGGATCCCACTGGACTCCGCCTCCCCCCCATGGTGGACCTCCAACCTCCCATCACACTCTACTCCGACTTTTCTAAAGTGCTTACCATGAACCAATGAGAAGTGCAATTATCAAGTCTCCTACCTCCCGTGTGGACACTGAGCCCCAGAAGGGCAGACTGCACCACGTCCATAATCTATACCTTGTCCCAGGACCTAAGCCATGCTTTGTACATAGTAAGCATCTAACTGGTACAATGAAAAATTCACTGGCTTTGACCTCAAAGGACATGGGTTCAAATCCTGTCTCTGCTGCTTACTTAGTACCTATGTGACCCTTGGCATGTGTCTTTATCTCTCTGGTTGAACCAGATGCCCTTCAAGGTCCATTCCAGCTCTAAATATAGGATTCTATGAGTCTATGAATAAATGTCTGTTGATTTTATCTGAAGGCATAAAGAATAAAAACTTGGTCAAAGATGTCCGACTGTCTAGAAAGACACATTAGTATTTGAGTTGACATCTTCCTCATGGTAGCCTGTTTAAGAATGAATCTTCATAGTAACGGAGCCATCAACATTGAATGCTGTGGCATTACAGTGACCAGCCTTGACTCCAAATAAGAGATAGGAGGAGCCTCCCTCTCCCCTCTGTTGCAGGGTGAGGGAGGGGGGTACTATGGATAGGCAACGCTATACACAAGGTCAGACTTTTTCAAGGCTGATTAGCTCGGCCAAACTGTTTCCTTCCCTCTTTCTTATTCTTTATTATAAGACATGGCTCTTGGGTTGGAAAATGTAAGTGATGTAAAAAAATAACAAGAACTTTTTTTAAAAAAATGGCTCTTACTGACGACATTCAAAAGCACATATCAAGTTGAGAAGAGGCTTCCACAGAAAAGTGGAATTAGATTTCTCTGTCCTCACATAGATTCTTTAATGCAGACGGCAGAGAGGATTTTCCTCCAACTCGACAACTCAGTCTGATATTCTGAACTGAATACTTCGTGGTGTAGCAGGGTGGTAATTATAAGGAGCTGTCACAGTGATATGAAGACACTTACACTGAGTACACCAGGGTGTCACCTCCCCCACCAGAGACTGACGCATGCACTGATTAAAGTCTGGGGTGCAGATGGAGGGAGGCAAGAGCTCCATTGCCCCAGGGTCTGGGCCACACTGTAGGATGGACACTGGCAAGCAGGGACATGTCTAGAAGAAGGTACCCAGGACTAGCAAGGGACTAAAAGTCAGGGCGTACAAGGATCAGCTGAAAGAACAGGAATATTAAATGTGTAAGTGTGAAAAATTGTAGTCTACAGCCATCCAAGGGCTATCTGATGGAAAAGGGACTTGATTTACTTAGGACGACTCGTACAGAGGTCACGAGCTGCTACTTTTCAGCTCCACATTAGGAGGAATTTCTAACCATTTGAGCTGGACAATCCAGAACGCACCGCCTTAGTGAGTAGCCAGATCTCCGTCGTCGGGGGGTCAAGCAGAGGCCAAGACAACCATCCATCGGGGAGTCTCCCGGAGGAGAGGGACAAGCTGGTTCCTAAACTCTGGCTCTGGCTGAGATTCCACGACAGCAGACAGGGAGGGGAGCTGCCCCAAGATGGTGGTGCTTTTGACTCTTGGAGCGTCCCCCATCAGAATGAAGCCGGTCTCTTTGAAAAGCTCTGCAGGCTGAGAGCAACGTCGAGCCTCATCAATGCTGCTTCTATCTTCCTGGACCTTGGGTGTCGTGGTAAGGAATCGTCCCCCGCCACCTCAGTGGGTGTGCCCCGGGAGAGGGGCGGGTCTTGTGGAGCCCGAGGCCGGCTCTCTATCTGCACACACTTGGCTGACCCACTTTTGGATTCACTGGAATCACTGTGATGATGCTCACACACAATGGAGCCCCCGGGGCCGCAAGCTGGGGGTTTATCCCGGGCACGTTGGCCCCACGCTGCTTGGCCGCCAAGTCTGTGTGTCTGGTATTCAGCGTTCTTCCATTTCCTGCTCCATCTTATCCTCCATCACTTGACATGACTGCTGGTGAGCCTGCTTCTAACAGCTGCCTGGCCTCCCCTCCTCAAACTGTGGCGGGGGATCTGCCATGGAAACCAAATGCTGAGCCCGTCAGCAAGGTGCATGGAGAAACAGAGCCCAAGGAGCGCTCCCAGAATGGATAAGAAACAAATAAAGCGGATGGGTCGGGAGGGCTGGGCCCCGGGGATGACGGGTAACCGCCCAGGAGCGCATACCTTGGTCCTGATTAGGGAGTGCTGCAAGCCAGCTGATTACAAACTGGGATGCCCAGAACAGAACACAGTCCTTCCAGCGTGGCAGCCACGAAGAGGACAGAAAGAGCCTCTCCCTCTTTGCCCTGGAAACTCTGTCCTCGTATAGCCCAAGACTGCATAACCAAAGGCTGCACTATCACACTGGTGACTCATACCACGCTCGCAGGCCACTAGGACCCTCAGACTGCTTCCAGACAAACTGTTAGCTAGCCAGGCTTCCCATCTTGTCCAGGAGAGGTTGTGGTTGACGCTGAGTTTATATTTATACCGAGGCAGATTAAAGCCTGCTTTAGCCTGTCCAGATCCTCTGGGACCGTGACTCTCCCCCGCCATCCAGGAGAGCCGTTTTTCCTCCAGCTGGCTGGGGCCTACGTCCGTGCAAACCGCACTGAACGCTCTGGGTGCTTGGCTTTGGAACAACCCGTCAGTGTCATGTAACCAAACCCTGAACGTGGGAAAAACCTGCTTTGTGATGTCACGGGAACACGGGATGCAGAGTTACAGAGTTATCTCCTCTGAGATAAGCTGCTCTAACTCTGCATTTTTCAGATGAGGAAACTGAGGCTCAGGGAGAGGCTAGTAGGTCACTCCCGCTGAAGGCACGGCCATCCCTCCACTCCCTCGGGCGCAGACCCCGATTGCGCTCCTCTCCTCGTCCTCCCTCACCCCGCACATCTGGTCAGCTGCCACACCTTGGCGCATTTCCCTTCAGACGTCTTTGGCGTCTGCCCCTTCTCTGCTCTCGTGACGCCACCACCGCCACCCTGCCTCCACCTCTGCCCACTCTCCCATCTTAGGAACCACTGCCAACCCCAGAATTCTCCTCCTCAACCACGTGCAGTGGCTCTCCATTGCTTCATGGAGCTTTGCAAGCCCTTCTCAACCTGTCCCAAGCCCAGCTTCGCAGCCCCCCGATCCTACGGTCCAGCTAATGGCAGGCCACTCTCACCATGCTCCTCCTCCACCCCCAGGCCCCTGCACTGGCCATACCCAACCCCGGGAAGGTCTTCCTTCCTCCCTTCCAAGAGGCTTCTCAGACACTAACTCCCAGGGGAAGCCTCTCGGATCTGTGTTTGCCTGCTTCGTCCAGATTTGCACTGATCAACTTTACATGAATCGTCTTCCCTATTAGAAGGGACGCTCCTCACAGGGAGGACCTGGCACCTGCTTTGCCTGGCGCCCCGCCCCAAGCACTGCGCTCCCTCCATGGTTACCAATTCCTTGTGAGTCAATCCTCAGAGGCAATGAGCCTGGTTCTGTGCCCGCCCAACGTGCTCACGGATGGGATGGTAATTACAGGGTAAGCAGAACACACTTCTGGGGTTAGGAGTGAAAAAGAAAGAAAAGCAGAATCTCCCTGAAGAAGCAGGGGGGAGACGTGAACTCAAAGACAGCTGGATTTCTAGGAAGAGAGACGAGAAGCCCACCACGAGGCAGGCCAGAGAAGCCTTAAACGAAGCGTTTGTTCAGCACACATTCAGTTTAAGTAAACCCAGGTGTAGTGAATAGAGTGCCAGGCCTGCAGGCGAGAAGGCCCGAGTTCAGATCCTGCCTCAGACACACACTAGCTGCGCAACCCTGGGAAAGTCACTTCACCGCCGTCTGCCTCAGTTTCCTCCGTAAAGTGGAAATCACGATAACCCCTACCTGAGGATCAAATGAAATGGTAACTGAGGAGCACTTTGCTGGCTGTTACTTCGGCTGTTATCAGCATCATTATCATTACTAGCAGTGTAATCCCTCTTTCCAAGCCTGTTTCCCCACCTTTAAAGTGAAATGAAGCCTCTCCAACCCCTCTTAATTCCAGCCCCTTCCCTCTTTTAATGACTTCCTATCTGTCCTGTCTAGAGGTTGCTTTGTCTATGTGTTGGCTTGCCGGCTCCCCCTTAGACCGTAAGCTCCTTGAAGGCAGGGACTGTCTTTTCTTTGTTTCCCTGGTGCTGAGCATAGTCTAGGCGCTGATTAAATGTTTATTGATTGACTGAAATGGCCTCGATAACCTCGATGGTCCCTTTCAGCTCTCAGCCTAGGACTCCATGTCCTGGGGAGCCCTCAGGGATCTGCCCAGCCCCCCGACTTCAGACCCGGAGGCAGAGGGAGACTTTAGGGACGGGCCCCAGCTGGGGTGGGCCTCACACTTACCCCTTTTCCACGCTTGCGTGCACCGACGAAATGATGCTCTCCAGGACCTGGAGTGGGTCCCCAGGCACGGGCAGGTCAGGGCTACTCCCACTGTCCAAGGAAAAGAAAAGCAGAGAGGGGCTCACTGAGATGGCCATCGCCCAACAGAGACAGCTGGTCCCTCGGCACCAAGGCAGAGGAGGAGATGCCTGCACCAGCCTCTGGATTCCACACCACACGAGGGGCCCACCTCCAGAGGGACGCTGCTTCCATGCCCGCAGAAGCGTTTGGGGCTGGCGATTTCCCGATGACTGTGACCAAGTGACCCGCAGGGGATGGCGGTCACGAAACTGACCGAGGACCTCATGCCCCCGGCCCCTCCACCCACTCCTGGGAGCAGCGAGGGTGGGGCAGTGGACTGTGGGCACCCGTCTGAGGCACAGCGAGCCTCTGACTTCCGAAGACACTGCCCCAAAGGCCATTCACAGAGCAGCTGACAGCAGCTCCGAGCACGGCCAGCCCTTTCTCAGCGGCCCTTCCAGGAGCAGAGCCTACTTGGGCATGGGTCCCAGGCCATCTCCCCAGCTAAACGCATACTAAGGGCCAGGCCCTGTGCCATATAACTGGAGACACAAAGAAACACAAAAGAGCCTCTGGCCTCAGGAAAGTCCAACGGGAAAGACTTTCTCATCTTTGCCTTTGTATTGACAACATATAGCTCCGTGCCTGGCAAACAGTAGGTGCTCAATAAATGCTTATTTACTGAGTCAAGCTAGACGCTCCCAAAGCAGCAAGGGTTCAGTACCACAGACCTCTGCAGGGGCTCAGGGTGCGCAGGGTCACCACCCAGGGTTGTCAGGCTCTGTCACACAAAGAAACATGACATTTGGCAGGCTCCAGGGAGAGGCCGGTGTCCCGACTGCACAGCATCAGCAGCAGCTAACACTGCCTCTGCACACTCCTGGAGGTTTCCCATTGAAATAGAAACACTATCAGAGAAGAATAAGCTGGGTAGGCACACGTTAACAGCTAATCATCTGTGTGTGCAATGTCAGCACACATTACCCTCCTGGGCACATCCAGGGGGCCTAACAGCTGATGGGCCCACAGAGGGAAGGGTGAGATGAGCAGCCGGACGCCCCTCTGAGACCCGGACCCCCTCTGGCAGCCAGACCCCCTTCTGGGAGCAACACTCCCCCTCTGACAGCCAGACACTCCCCCTCTGAGAGCCCGGGATCCCTGGGCCTCCGGGGTAACCGGGAGGGTCTTTCTGGGAGGCGTCTGATATTTTGATCATCGCAGCCGGGCTGGGCTGACCAGTAACGAAAAGGACAGAGGCCCCCGCTCCTGCCAGCTCATTCCTTGGGCCGGGCCGGACTCGGCCTGAGGCTGCTGCCCCCCTCCCAAAGCACAGGGGGGCCGAGTCTCCGCAAAGCCGCTAAGCGGCAGCACTGCAGATGGGGAGAGTGCCAGCCGAAGTCTACCGCCACAAACCACAGCCTGAAAACAGGCACCTCTGAACGGGAAGATCGGCCGGACTACCGCCCCTGTGCACGGCGTAAAGCTTGGCTGGAGAAGCAAAAACAATAACAAAAGAAGGTGACAATTACAAATCCCAGGGCTTGGATGTGAGATATGGCATTAGCCGTCCCGGCTGCAAAGGCACGCGTCTCCAAGGAGCTCAGTCCTTCAGAATTCGTCATTTCCCAAACTCCGAGGGCATTTTGGGTCTGCAGCCGCCAGAGCCCTCCGGGCATTGAGGGGAACCTGGCTTGAGGCGGGTGTAATTAAAGCCATAGAGACTCCTGGATTGGGCTCCGCATTTAATCAAAGAGTTCCTGAAGAGCGGCAAGGAATGACAAAGAATGCTTCCGAGCAGAATAAATTAAACGCTGCTGCGAAATCTTGGGGCCTCATCACGCGCCATCCAAGGGAAAGCACCTGATGCCTCATTATTCTCCGGGCTCCCTTTTCAGGCTCGCTCCCCGCTTTGCCATCTCCTTGGACGGTTGTGCGCTGAGACCCCAAAGAGCATCCTCACTCCGGGCTTCCTTTCAAACTGTGATCAGATAACGGAGGTGGGATCTCCAGGGTTGGGGCCCTCCCCCGGGCTCTAATCACATTCTCCGGAGCCTGGGCGAGGCTGGCCTGCCCAGGACCCAGCCGAGCCCACCAGAGGCCTCTGCCACCCTCCCCACGGCTTTGGTACAAGGAAGCAGGTGGAAACAGAAGCCGTGTCACATTCTCCGGTTCCTTCCGTGAGACTTCACCCCCACGCGGAGCAGGGGCACTCGCTGTCCTGGCGGGCACTTCCAGCCCCTCGCGACCTCCCTGCCCCGGCTTCCCTGGCCTCTCCAGGCCTGAGTGCTGCGGAGCCCCTCTGGGAAAGCCTCACGCTTCCTTCCTTCCTCTCACCCGGCCCACGACCGGCCTCGTCTCCCACCGACACCACGGGGCAGGGGTCACTCAGCCTGCAAGCACGAGGGCTCTGGAGGCCCTGCGTGTTATCCACCTTCTTCCTAATCTTGGTCACAGAAGGGATTACCCTGACCCTGGGCCCACCGACCATGGCCCGGCCTTCATCTCCTCCCACCCACGTCTGGAGGCAGCTGAAGAAGTGGCAAGTCAAGGGTCTGCCCTCGACCCTCCTCTCTTCTCCGCATTTCCCCTCGGCTCCCTCACTCACCCCGCAGCCCCAACTATCTCCTCTCTGCTGACAACTCCCCAGTCTACTGAAATAATAACAGCAGTAACTAACATGCATCTACAGCTTTGAGACGTCTAAAGGGCTTGACAAATATTACCTCACTCTATATTCACAACAGCCCTGGCAGGTGGGTGCTATTACTATCTCCCTGTTATAGTGGAGACAGATGACTCGCTCAGGGTCACCCAGCTAGGTGGTGCTGGAGGCTGAATTTGAACTCTCCACACCCAGTGCACTGTCCGCTGGTCCTTCCTAGACTTTGCCTTTACTTGTTCGTATACACCTGCACAGACTCATGTCTCCAGCTCAGAGCCCGGCACTCAGCAGGCACTAAATAAATGCCTGTAGATGGTCGGCAGTCCAGCCAGCTCCAGCTCGGGCTCTTCGGTACTACCGGGCCTGGCCCCTCCTCTTTGCTCCAGCTGACTCCCCGCCAGCCTGGCCTGGGTCATGCGGTCTCTGCCCCCGCATCCCCTCACATGATACATGATGACCCCCTCTTTATCCTCAGGTCTGTGTCCTGCATCCCTGGTTTTCTGAAAACCCTTCAAGGCTCCTGGACTCTGTCAAATCACAAGTCCTGGGGCAGGCTCTCAAAGCTTGCAGCCAGGCCTCACACTCCTGTCCTGCAGTCAGTCCCCACCGGCCACACTGGAGGCTTCACCGTCCCCTGGAGCAGGCTCCTGCTCTGCTCCCTTCTCAGCCTTCCCCGCTGACCTGCCCCCCCCCCTCCGAAAAGCCGCACCAAACTCCCATCCTGTCCCCCAGGAAGCCTCTGCTGACTCTCCCACCATCAGTCATGATAACAACTCACACCTCGGAACACTTTTAGGCTCATTAGGCAGGTAGTACAGGCGTTACTGCTCCCATTTTACAGAAGAGGAAACTGAGCCATCCATGGTCACCAATCTCCTGGAAATGGGTGTGAACCCAGATCTCCTCGATTTAGGGCAGTGCTTTTGCCAACGGCATTACTGACCTTTCCCCTCAGGACTCACAGGACACACGGGACCTATAGTGAGACTGTGTTGACCCAGGGCTGGGGTAAGGCACAAGCTGGCCAAGGACTTCATGGGGTCACCACCCTGCTGGGCCTGAGGCCTGGCCTCCCCCACCAGCAGGACTTTCACAGAGGCTGAAGAGGGCTCCCTGCTGAGCCACGTGGACGACCGTGTTGGCCACCACAAACGAGCCTGGGACCACAGCTAAGGGATGCCACCTCCCGGGGCACCGGCTCATCCCCGGTGAACAAGGAGGGTCAGAGGCAGGGTGGGGCAGTGGAGGGCACTGGCCGCCAGTTCCTGAAGATGCAGGCCGAGTGTGACCACAGGACTCTGGCCACCCAGCGTCTCAGAGTTAATACAAGAAGCTGAAGCATGGGGGTCCATCTGCGTTGGCAAACAGGGTTTAGCTGCAGCAAACTCCCAACCCAGGGAGCTCAGAAGGAGGCCGGGGAGACCCCCCAAAACACTAGCCCTGTCACTATGCTGGGAACAAGAGAACCCCAAGGCAGTGGCCTGCCAGGAAGCCCATCAGACCACACCCCGGCCTGCCACACCTCCCAAGGACCACTATGGGAAGACGCCTCCTTTCACGCTCTTGGCGCTCACCACCGGCTCACCTCAACAAAGAGAGCACACGCATGACCGCGCCGTGGACGACTGCCTTGGTGGAAAGGTCCAAGGGGCCCACAGCCACCTCCAACAGCTGCTGCACCATGGCCAGCGGCTGCCCATCCAGACACATGGTGATGGCCTGCTCCTGGATCTTGGCCTTCTCGGACCGCGAGAGGTCATAGAGGTCAGCATAGTGCCGGAACTTGTCCTGTCGAGAGATGGGCAGAAGGGACATGAGCAGGCACCATCTGGGGGTAGACCCATAAGCTCTCTCGGGGCTGCGGCCGGCCTTCAGGAAGACAGCATCCCAGAGAAGAGCATAGGTCAGAGGGCATCCTGCGTGCCGCACCCCAAGAGCTCATGAAGCAGGTGCTGGGCTGCCCGGAGCTGGTCAGCACAGGGAGCTTCCAGTGCGGAAGGGACCTCCAGCTAAGACAGGCTGGCCAAGAGCCTGGCCGGCAAAGGGGTCTGCCCAGGGTCCCAGGTCCTGAAGGCGTCAGCTCCCCACCACACTGCGTGGTCTGCCCCTCCCTCCACCTGTCTGTCTGTGTACACACTCCCGCACATTCACACATACACACGGACCCTGGTGGGGGGCTTGTGAGGGAACTCACCTGCTCACTGTTCTTCAGGGAAGCGATGAAGCTGTGCTGGAGCGTCTCCAGGTGAGCCAGGGACTGCTTCAGGTGTCTCAGGGCATCCTCGTAAGGGACGGGGGAAGCGGCAGGCTCCTCTGAATCCTGGTCCACATTTCTCTTCCTGCGCTTCTCAATAAAATGTTTGACAGTGGCAATAGCCTTCCTTGTCATCTCTGTACGGGCCTCCACGGTCAGCTTGGGGGGAAAGAAAAGCAAATCTTTGGGCTCCACTTAGGGAAATGTGACCAAGAAGCCTGTGGGTCAGGCCTTCCCTCCAGTCCCCCACAGCCCCCTCTCAAGTGTGCCACCCCCACTGGAGGAGCTTTGGGCAAACCAGACCCCTTTCCCGTTCTTACCCTGGGGGCCACTTGTGCCCTCTTAACATCAGGACTGAAGGCCACACGCCCCCATGCTCCCAATGCCACTGCCCTTTGACCATTAAGGCCTTGAGGCCAAAAAATGTCTCTGCTTTTGTACTGTGACCCCCTCCCCTTAGCACCATGCTTCATCCTTCACCCCTAGACTGCTGCAGTAGCTGTTGGGGGGAGGGGTGATCTCCCTGCCCCAGCCCACCCTCCCTTCAGTCATGAAAGCGACCTTCCTAAAGACAGAGTTGACTCACATCACCTCCAAAAGCTCCCTATTGCCTTCAGAATCAAAGAGAAAATCCTCCATTTGGCCTTTAGTCCTCCCTAACGTGGCCCCTTTCCACCTTACCAGCTTGCTCCACCTCACACCACCCCACCAGTGGCACAGGCCTCCTGGCTGTTCCTCACCCTCCAGCCTCCACCTCCCATCTCCGGGCATCTTCCCAGCTGTCTGCCATGCCTGGAATGCCTTCCCTCCCCATCTCCACCCCCTGGCTGGGTCCCACATTCTACAGGAAGCCTTTCCTGATCCCCGTCACTCTGGCGTGGTGATGCTCACTGTTCGGCCTTCCCTCACACACAAGGGCGAAGACGTGACCTCCTCATGAACTGGATCTCAGGGAGGCCCGGCTGCCCAAAGTCGTGAGGCATCAAGCCCAGTGGCAAGGCAAAGGTCAAGACCACAGGGGATGGCCCAGGACACAGGGGGTGACCTTGGCCCAGGTCTAAATTAAGGCCTTTCGTTACATCAACTGATGCTGAGTGAAGCGAACAGAACCAGAGAACGTTGAACACAGTAACAGCCACGTTGTGGAAGGAGTAATGTTGATAGATTTAGTTCTTCTTGGTAATGCCAGGATCTAAGACATCTCCAAAAGACTCATGAAGGAAAATGCTATCCAGATCCAGAAATATGATGTCTGAACACAGATTGAAGCACACTGTGCTCACCTTTTTTGTTTTTTCTTTTCTTTTCTTTCTTGTGGTTTTTCCCTGTTGTTCTGATTCTTCTTTCACAACATGACCAATGTAGAAATGTGTTTAACATGATTGTACATGTATAGCCTATATCAGATTGCTTGCTGTCTTGAGGAAGGGGGAAGGGAGGGAAGGGGGAAGAAAAATTTGGAATTCAAGATCTTGTAAAAACGAATGTTGAAAACTATCTTTACATGTAATTGGAAAAAAAATAAAATGCTATTATGTGAATAATTAATTAATTAATTAAGGTCTTTCCCAGGCCTTACTTAGTTTGTCTGAGGCCATGCTCATTCAAGACTTAAGGCTAAGTAAGAATTGAGCAAAAGATGGCCTAATGTACCATCCCAAAAGGATTAATCAGGTTGGAGGAGAGCCAGAGCAGAAAACAATTCTGATGTCTTCCCTCTGAGATGAGCCCATCCGAGATGATGCTGGGCACCTCTGGCTTTACCCGGGGGCTTGCACATCGTCTTCCTGATTAGACTGGGCTCCTGGAGGGCAGGGAATGTGTTCTGCCTTTCTTTGTATCCCCAGAGCTTCGCACAGGGCCTGGCACACTGAAGGCGCTTAATAAGTGCTTGCTGACTCCTGCCCGGCACACAGGAAGCATGGATGCACTTCTCAATTCATTCACTGTATGTATCTTCAGTTCCTCTCCTGTTCTTCTCTCCATGCAGGAAATTCAACAGATATTTCTTAAGGACCTACTATGGGGAGAACGCCCTTCATTGGGCCCTGTGGATAACCGGATGCACAAAATGCCAGCCTGGTTCCTGCCCCCAAGACCCTCAGAATCTTCCACTTCCTATCCTGCCTTCCTCCTCCTCTTCTTCACACCCGTGTCCTGTGCTCTGTCCCCTGAGAAGATGAGCTCTGGTGGCTGAGGCCTGCCCCACACAACCCTTCCCAAGCCCTTCCATTTCCCCACTAGGGGCTAAGCTCCTGGAGGGCAGGGGCTCTTTTCTGCTGGCTTATATTCGTATTCTCAGAGCTTAGCACAGAGCCCACCACAGTGGCCCCTTAATGAACACTCTATCTCTCTTGCAGAAGAGACAAAACAGCCTCATAGAGAACACAGACTGGAATCAGGGAGAGACCAGCAGAGACATATGACCAGAGGGAGGGAGGCAGGGCAGGCTCACTTGCACCTGGGGGGCTGAGGACAAACTGACAGTTTGCTCAAACCATCCTCACTTCCCACCGCCTTGCTCGGCTGGCTCTGGGCAAAGAGCCAAAAGGCCTGCACACAGCTGGAGTGCTTTTACAGGCTTGGGGTCAGGAGAGGGAATGCGCTGGGCAAAGAAGAGTAAGGTGGCAGGCGTCCTTAGGCTCTCTGGTACCCTGAGAGGCATGTGGCTAAGAGCTGGAGGAACCAGGTTAGGAAGGGTCCTCTTTGATCCTGGAGCCAATGCTGTGGTCAGTCCTGCATTAAGGAAGCGAAATGGACAGCAGCCCCACGGCGGCTCCTGCAGCAGTGCCTGGAGATCCACCCCCGTCCACCAGAGCCGCTGTGAGCCCTGGTGAGAGTGCAGAGGGAGAAGAGAAGGGGGCCTGGGCTGGGGCTAGGGAAGGAACGGCGACGCAGGGCCAATGACAGAGCATCAAAGTGAGGTGTGCTGAGGACAGACCCACAGAGACGGGCAGAACCCGCCAGCAAGGTTAGAATCCAATCTTCAGACACGGGCTCCTGGCAGCGTCACGCCTATGCATGACATCTCTCCTTCTCAGGAGCAAAGGCAGCAGCGTGGTACACGGGAAAGAACCAAGCCTATGGACAACAGGGATCCCACCCAGCCCCGATTCCCTGCTCCGTACACCTACAGCCCTCCACTGGGGCAGGGCTAATTACAGCTGGTGTCCCGTCTACACTGAACGAAGCTCAAACAGAGGATGGCGGTGGACGAGTGAATGGACTCCCAGGGGGGCCCCCTTGGCTTCCACCCCCACCATAGGACAGAAGGGTCCTTCTCGCTCTGCCCTCGGCCCCTTCCCCTGCCAGCTCAGCTGCTCTCCGTGCAAGGAACATGCCCAGGGCGTCTTCTCCAGGCTCTGCTCCCGCTTCTCCAGATGGGCTCTACACCCCCTCCGTACCCCCCTCAGCTCCCCTTTGTCCAGCTTCCTTGTGATGAGTGGTTCTCCTCCACTGGAACAGAAGATCCCTGAGGACAGGCATACAGCATGCATGTAACACAGTACATATCTGCATGTACGTATGTATGTATATGTATGTAACACAGTATACACGCAGTAGGCTCTCCCCAGAGCTTAGCCAAGGGCCTGGCACAGAGTGAGCTCTTAGTAAATGTTTGTTTACTGATCGCCTTCTCATTTCAAATGATCTTTAGCCAAACGAAACGCATCTCGACAGTCATTAACAGAATCCCATGTAAACAAATTCAGGACCATATTCATTATTCAGAGAGGACATGATTTTCCCAGAGATCGAACCATATTAACAGTGGAGGAACTCAGGGCCATTCCCTGACTGCCCGGGGGGCTTTCTTGACTCACAATGTGATTGCTTTTTTCCAATTTACAAAAACATGTCCATTACCCAGAGGCCCTCAGATACTCTTCCAGGAACACAAATTTAACAATGAAATTTAATGTACAGGTTTTTAAAAATGAGTTTTCTTGTGAGACAAACAAATAACGAGGTGGAGAATTCTAATGGAGAGAAAACAGGCCTTCCCTGCTGTGCTCCCCACCTCTGCAGGGGCTGCGGAGCTGGCCCTGGTCCTAAAGACTCTTCTCACATGCCCAGGGGTGCACAGAATTCAGACGATTTCCAGTTCTAGGATGATCCATCCCACGTCTCTAAATCCGTAACCCTAGGAGCAAGCTCAGAGCTGTTCCAAGAGGATGACCGTGAAGGCAAGCTACACTATAATGAGCAGTACGCGATGCTTGGCAGGCCGGGGCTAAAAAATCCTTTTTCTGACTGAGCCGTCAGCAGTCTAGCCCTCCCCAAATGACTCGGATGTTCTTATTGGGGTCACCCTGACTCCGCTCAGCAGAAAGACGGCTCCTCCAAGGCCCGAGTCCAAGCCCTGTCTCTGACACATCCTGGCTGTGACCCTCAATAAGGAGCCAGCAGCCAAACTCTCCCATGAGGGGCCGGGCAAGTGCGAGCACAGCCCAGGGATGGAGGGCCAGCCTTAGAGAGTCACTCACAGGCTGCACGACCATGGCGAGCCCACCTCGGAGACGCTGAGGAATACAGCAGGGGCCAGTCCTGTTCCAGCAAAACCCCCTGTCTACCCCCTACCCAAAAGAGTTACTGTACCCTTCCATCGGGCAGAACCTTGGGTGACAGATGATGAAACTGAGGCCCAGCATCACACAGGAAGTCTGTGTCAGAGGCCAGGTTAGAGCCCAAGTCTTCCTGGGTTGGGCATGATGGACAAGAAACCCCTGTCCTCAAGAAGCCTACATTCTGCTGGGAAGAAATAGCCAATATACAAAGAGCGTGGCACTGCTGCAGATGTGCTGCGATTCTGTGGGCTTGCAAGGGACCCTGAGGAGGGCTGGTGCCCACGCTGGGCCTCGAAGGAACCCAGGCACTCCATGAGGCTGAGGGAACCTGGCAGGACACGGCCAGCACAGCTGTCCTCCTGGACAGAGACGCCAAAGCCAGGGACGGTATCTCCCATCCAGGGACAGTCTGGCTGGGCCACAGACAGTGACAGGCATCACCAGGATGGGCCACGGAGCCTACAGGGGCAGAGGGGCTGCAGGCGAGACACACTGTGGGCATACGGGAGGTGAAGGTAAGGCTAGCTCTGAGGAGACATCATGGGAGCAAGGGGAGGTGACTGGGAAGATGGCGCTGACCTTCATGGAAAT